TTGATACCAAATCGAATTAACGTTGTGACGTCAACGATAAGTCATCCATTTTTTTCACGCGTACTGCTTTGGATTGCTTATCTGTACTGCTTTAGTGTCATCAGATCTACTGAACGCATGTTGAATAAAAATCAAAGCTAAGCTTCTTAGCAGAAGTTCTAGTAGCTGGGGAAGGCTACATTTTGAATAATAACCGTAACTCCTGGAATAAATTGAAAACAGCAATAAGTATGCTAACTGACCTGCATTTTTGAAAGCACCAGGAGCAGATTGATTCTCGACAATGCCCTCATCTTGCTGATGATTCGCGATTTTTTTCGACGCCATTCATCCGTTTCACGGAAATGCTTCTTCTTCGGCTTCCACATGCTCAGTTCCATTACTTCTTTTGCCTTAAACTTATGAATAATGAATGCATTATGAATAACAGATGCGCAGAAATAATCGCTTGGAGGCAAATTGCACATTGGTCGCATGTGCGGGGCTACTTGGCACCGCAATTTTCTTGCTGAGGGGTTCCATCTTCTAGCATGGCAAAGAGGGCAGGCATACCAGTAGGAAGGTGCAGCGACCCAAGCGACTCCACCCATGCAACCAGCGTGAAATGGTTTTTGAGTTTTGACTCCATTATATTGGAATTTTCTAGAATTTGAAAGATATTTCACTTGAACGCATAGAGCTCTTCTCGTAAAAGCGTAGGGTTCACATTTATGCATTGAATTGAATGATATCGTTAAGCGCACAGCGCAGGCTCACCAAAAAAGGGGTTCCTTCTCGCTATGTGAGATGAAGTTTCTCTTGAAAAATAGCTCAAAACATGAAAAAAGTGAGCTGCGGTATATTAAAAGGAGTGGTGTGGGATGGCGGGATGGCAGATACATAAGGTGCTTACGTCGGCTGATTCCCAAAAATCATTACAAGAGACCTAAGGGGCTATATCTCATCCAAAATGAAACTCTAACCTTCCAATAGGAGTAGAATTTGCTTGGCAAAAAGGATTGATGAATGCCGACTGCTTCTCGGTTGGAAAGGCATCGCTCGGTTTCGCGATCAGGTATAGAAGTTGAAAATATGGCGTCGGGAGGGTAGCGGTGTCCGCGGCGCAACCAACCCTGTCAGGCGGAGCAAAAAAAATTGTTTTAAAAAAAAAAAAAAAAAAAAAAAAAAAAAAAAAAAAAAAAAAAAAAAAAAAAAAAAAAAAAAAAAAAAAAAAAAAAAAAAAAAAAAAAAAAAAAAAAAAAAAAAACAAAAAAGGAAAAAAAAAAAAAAAAAAAAAAAAAAAAAAAAAAAAAAAAAAAATAAACAACAATTTTAAAAAAAATAAAAGAAAACCAAAATAAAATTATAAAAAAAATGACTCTAAAATAAAACGAGATTATTCTTTACTAATACACCATAAAAAGAAAATCATTTTTAAAAAAATGTAAAAAAAAAAGAAGAAAAATATAAAACAATAAAAAATATAAATCAAAAAAAATGGGGTGAGGGGCCGCTTAGGGATACAGGGTTAGGTGATGGCTCCTCCTTTCCTCAAAGGTTACTCCACCTCCAGACTCCGCCTTCATATAAGGTCTTGCCTTTCAGCTGAAAAACGAAGCTGCAGGACGCGAAGAGAATGAAAAACATACTTGTACAGTTCGGCAGGCGGTTCTTGTCGATAGGAATCAGACTGTGCCGGAGTTAGGTGCGTTAGTGTTGGATTGAGCTCATTGCACGCTACAAACTGGGATCGAAATGGGGGGGGCGCTCTACTCAGCGCGCAGGAACACCTTTCCTTTTTCTGCTTTGTTTCTCCACTATAGGATTACTCAGCCTCTTACCTTTTATGCAAACCCTAATCACTTCTGTGATTGGCGAATGGATCGCGGGTTTGCCTTTTAGGCAATTATAAAAGGAGACACATCGTCAGAATGTTGAGGTGGGGGGGCTTGTTGGTCGATGGGAGAGGGGGATCGTGAAAATAATCTCGTCTTCCAAGGAAATCCCTCCTTATTTGAGGGTTTTCCCTATTTCCCCATGCATTAATACCCCCTTCGACGGTAGAATTTTGGTAGAATACTTCCGCGTTACATACTCCTCCCGGTATCAGGACACCTGCGAAGGAAAGTCGTGCAGCACAATCCGAGAGGACGTAGCATTTCTCCGGAAAATTCACACAACGCCATGCTGAGTCTGACGTCAGTCATACTGTCTACTGCCGCCACTTGGAATTAAATCTCAACACCCATATCCCAGGAACGCTGACCTGCCTAATAGATAGACCACCGTACTCAATAATAACTATTCATTATATTGTATATGTATGGTTGAACAATTTCCATTGATGTGTGGGAGAGATCTATCTTCGATCAACTTAGGGTGAAAAGAGTAGTACATAAAGAAATACAAAGAAAACTACAAGAAATATGAACACAAGAAAAGGTAAAAAAATGAAAAATCAAAAGCATAAAAAATGTAAAATCATATTATCTAAAATATATCTAATGACGCGTTCGTTGAGCTGCCTGGAAACAAATTCCCAAGCCAAGGAGCAAGTTAGTCGTATCCATCGCATTTCGGATTATCGAATGATAATCTGACGGCTGGACCGTTTGACAGCTCTGACGGCTCTTGACAGTTTTAGATGTTCTGTTTGTCGTCCCTCGCTTGATGAAGATGTAAACAAGCAGGAAATCTTATTTCTCCTATTTCCTCATCCTTCCTTGGGGTTATACGTATGTTCACTATGCAAAAGGTAGAAGCAAAAATCACTGTGCTTCGTCACGAATGGATTGATGGATTAGAGAATAAGGACGAAGTCCAGCGCAAGATGCATATGGCCCTCCGAAGTATGGCGATATAGCGCAGAAAACCTGCTGAACAAGCTTCCAGTGGTACTGCCACCTTCAAAGGTTGTGAGACGGAAAAAATGAGTGAAATTTCTTGCAATCATTTGCATTTGCAGAAGTGTACTATCATGTGGGGTCATGTGTGAGAGCGCCTGTGATGGGTGAACCCTCTTGTGTAGGACGCATACCGGGATATCCGAGCTGCGGCGACGCGTCATGACATGCGCTTCATCTCCACTTAGCCCATGTTAGTCGGGTGCTTTCACTTGCAAATATCACGCCGCTATAACCCAGACATCCTGCAGCGCTGGTACCGGTGCACAGTGGGTCCTCAGCGCTCTTGCCTCCTCCTGTGCATACTTTTGCTGAAAGTCAAATGGGAACCTCACTCATCGCAGAGAAATGTACGCGTGGTGGAATACCTTCCAAAGCAGTCAAATAAAATTGAATCAAATCAAATTTGATAGTAAGAATAAAAATTTGGAAGGTCCGAGAGTGCCAGGTGTGATCTGAGCAAAAGGGCGAAGGTGATGTGGTTCCAAAAGGCGCCGCTCACAGTCAGGAACGAAATCTGGATTGAACTGGCCAATCGATCCGAGTCTATTATTAGTAAGGAGTCCACCATCATATGGTTCTGAACACATCTGGATGAAACAAAAATGCTAAATTCATATGAGTGTGTAGTATTCTTGTGCGTTTACGATTCTTGTTAGGCGAAACAATTAAAAATGGCCTAACGTTTCGCTGAATACTGTCGTCTTCAGAGGACCAGCTGTTCCACCGTTTGAGCGGATAGGTCCGCTGCCACATGAAAGCGCTGTCAATGGAAAAACTAGCTAATTCCTATATTGTGTGAATACATTATTGTTGAAGAAGTATGTAACTAGAATTTAGGACATGCAACATCAAGCTCTAGATCAAGGTTAAATAATAAATATTTTAATTCATTGTAGAAACTATCGGAATCCA